TCTTAGCAACCAGATCCTTCTCCCCCTGTTGCTAGACCCAATTACAGCCAGGTACCTCCTCCGGCTGAATATGGAGGAGGCTCACAAGACTGGAGGCCTGTGGATAGACACCACAACGAGGAAGGAAGAGGAGGAGGAGGAAGCAGAGAGAGATACAGTGCAGAAATGAGAGGGAAAGAGAGCGGAGAGAAGAGAATCAGTGGAGAGAGAAGGAGCAGAGAGTTTGGACAGCAGAATGATAGAATGGGTCAACACTATAATGACAGAGGTGGTTATGACAACCAAGATCGTTTCCAAGGTGACAGAGACCGTTACCAAGGTGACAGAGATCGGTACCAAGGTGACCGAGATCGTTACCAAGACAAGCAGCAGGGAGGTTATGGTGGGGGTGGGGCTAATTACCAAAATGAGCAAGATCGTTACCGCGATGACAAGAGTTATCAAAGTTACTATCAAGATGACCCACGTTACCAAGATGGTTCTCGTTACCGTGATGACCCACGTTACCGTGACAACCAAGGTGATTCTTACCAAAGAGGTCGGGATGATTACCGGGAAGGGAGAGGTTACCGTGACGACAGGGATCCCAATCGAGATCGTTATCCAGAAGCCAAAAGATACGGTCGTGATAACTGGGAGAGACAGAACGAGAATCCTCGGGGATATGAGCAAGAGAGACGCCAGTATGATGAACAACGATACCCTCGTGATCCTGACTACCGTCACAACCCCAGGGGCTACGAGGGAAGGAATGAAGATAGGTATGATAGAGGAGACTGGAGGCCAGCAGGAGGAGGAGGAGTTAGGAGGGATAATAGTAATGATGAGTATTATGATGATGGATATGAGGAGAGGAGGAGAATGGATCAACGAGGAGGAGGAGGAGGTGGTAGGGAATATGTGGATGAGGGTAGATATGAGAGGAGGAACCAGCGGGACCGGGAGGGAAGAGGAGGAGGAGGAGGGCAGTATAGGGAAGAGGAGAGACGTAAGAAGCAGCAGAGTCAGCAGCAAATTGAACCGCTTGTTAAACCAAGTTCTACTGAGAGCTCGATTGATGATACAGAAATAAAAACAGCAAGTAAGTACATGTAATGTAATGCATGTGTTTAACTGCAACTAGTGCCTTTGTA